GGAGGAGGAGATCGTTGATTTTTTGACTCTTTCTCAATCTTTCTCTCTTTGCGAACTTGCGAATAGCAAGTTTGGTCCTGTGTTGATCCCGAACACTGATGGTTCGAAGTTTGTTCAGGGACGCATCGAGTTGAGTTGCTGTATTTTTTTGCGCCTCCTCGAGCTTTTTCCGTGATCGGCGAGACCTCCTAATTAGTTTAAGAGTGGCTTTGTCAAATTTAAAGCGTCGCTGTTCACTCGGTATGTCCAATAGATGCGTCTCTTCGCCAATGGCGTTGAGAGTGTCCACCCACCATTTTGCAGTCTCATTCAACTGGGATTCGTCTTTTATTTCTTCAGTATCAAGAACGTTCCATCTGTTTGAGAGAGCCAGGTCCCACCCATGTCCATCTATCCCCTTGCGGTTCCAGACTTTAGTTTTGGGTGCATCCTGTTTTTTGATGTTTTCATAGACAGTCAATGTTTGGATAACCGGCCAGTGGTCACTAATGTTAAAGAGAGATTTCTCTACTGTAACATTGTTTACCATCTTGACCACATTAGGTGTGTTTATAAAGTGATCAATGTAGCGCCCTGCCTTCTTGCTGGTTTCTCTTGTTGCAGCACTGGTAGGGTCTTTAGTGATTTCAAAGTGAAGAGCATGTAAGTTGGATTTCCTCATGTGGTTGAGAATTTGTTTCTCTTCATCATTCATATCACCAAGGATGGTCACAAATCTTGGTTCTGTTAGATCTGTAAAGAGGGGCTGTAGCAGGCTTTTCAGATAGCCCCAGATGCTCCCTCGATCCTTTCCCCGGGATGATCCAGAGGGCATATATACTGATAGTATATGCCATGGGTGGGCTCCGGTACGCCCATATACCTTTACATATATGATATGTTTGGTAGGGGTTTCAATCTCATGTGCGTTCATGTCCTGGTGGACATAAAGACATTGTCCTCTAAAGCCCTTTTCTTTGGGCCTGTCAAAGAGGTTATACCCCTGAACACCTGGGACATAGTGTTTTATTGTCCGTAGATGTTCTTGGATTGACGCAATAGCTATCTGTTTTTCTTGGAGCAGGTGCTTCAGGGCAGGTAGCTTACTTTTGATACCGTTGATGTTCCATGTGAGGAGATTTAATCTTTTTTCCTCACTTGTCCCTTGTTGTTTGGGTTTTATTGGACGATCTCTATAGGACTTCCACAAATAGAGCCGGTATCTGGGTAACATGGATTTACTGACCACTTCATTCCAGTTAGAGTGATCAGGGTCAATCATTTGGGATAGCAGTTGCCGTCCTTTATAATCCAACTTTAGGGCTTTTTGTAGCCCCGCAGAGATTTCATGTTTTACCCATATGTCAAAGCGTCTTCGTCTGTTAGGTTGAAGAACGGGTTTGACCTTTATTATTCCCTTGTACAGATTTTCATATAGACGAAGGGAATGCTTCAGGGCAGAGTGCAGTTGGACTGTGCTCAAAGACCCTACATTTGTAAGTATGTAGCGGGTGCAGCCTTGAAGAGGATCTCCTTTTGATTTTGTGTTTAAGGGGACCACTGAAGGACAAGAGTGTCTATTTATGACATTCTTTGTTATCAGATTTTTTGGGGGGGTTTTGTTCTTGTCGCTTTCATCCTGCACGCCACTATCGGGCATACCGGACTGACTTGGTACTACCAAGTTCCCCATAGTGTTCAAGCCCCTGGACTTTGCTTGGGGATTGGACCGCCAGGTGTGGTCCAACCTCTCACCCCATTGAGAAGAGCCCTCCCCTACATTATCAGAGAGGACCGTCGGGACCGTCAATTCCAGTTGTTGTGATTTATCCATCATGGGTTGGGTGTCATTTTATTTTGAACCAGTGAGACTTCTGGTTGTTTTTGGAGCATTGTTAGGGGCGACTTAAACTCAGTGTTGTTGTGTCATATACCGTGTTTAAGTCAAAGATGTATGCTCTCTTTTTTATACCACTTATCCATTTCTTTTTTTATTATGATATGTCATAGTGGTTCTGAGACTCCCCTATTTGTTTTATTAGTAGGGTTTGGACTAAAGGGTGTATCCTTTAGATTGAGTGAAGGGCCTTCCTCATGTCAATTGTTATCATTTTGACTTAAGGGGAAGCATACCTGTAGGTACTCTTCAGCATTATACTTCTTTGATAGGTGGTTTTTGAGGGTTAGTTATTTAACTCTGTCTGATATACTTAGAAGGTATCAGTCACCAGACAAGGAATTGTTCATTGCCTAATATGTGAGATAGATCCTTAAGTTGGTGTCTCATGTAACACTTAAAGCTCAGGGGTCTCTCACTAGTTCATTTACTCACTGCCATTGATGGCTTTTTATTCATTTCAAAAGGTGCAGGCAATGAGGTCAACAAAATAACAGTGTTGATTTCTGGACAGCTTGAAAAAGAGTTGCATAAGAGAAATAACATTGAACAATGAAAGACAACATAATCTACTTTACATCTGCTTTCTTTTTAGAAGGCTTTTTATTAGTATTAGTCTTCTGTTTCTTAACAGGCTGGTCAGATGACTTAGTTTTAGTATGCCTTTTTTCTATAGGTTTGTCTAAAATAAGTAAGGCAGAAGAGGAGTCATTCTTGCCAGGGCCATTTTTCCTAATACTAGACATTTGAGAGAGAAGATCTTTAACTTTCTTGTCATAAGGACAATAGCTGTCATGGTACTCAGCTCCACAGGTGGGGCAACAGTCTACTAGTTGTAAGGAGACTTGAGTTCTTCCTACAAAGCCACGAAGAACCGTCCAATGTCTTATTGAACAGGTTAGTTGTTAGCCAATTGTCTAGGGTCAGTATCTCTGTAAGAGAGAGAGATTAGGAGACTTACTTGGTGGTGAGGTATTTGACTGTCAGCTCCAAGCAAGGAAGAAAGGTTGTGTAAGCAACAACAGTACCATTCTTGATGGCCTGACCCCCTATTTTAGTACCAGACATTACTGCCTTAGTGACTTTTAGGGGGTCATGTACTTCTTGGGTGTTGAAGGTTATACCGGTTTTCTCTATTTTTTTGAGGATGTTATCTCCTGTTTAAAATAATATATGTTTGGTAGGTTTGTTATGTATCATTCTTAGTAGACTTTTACAGGTAATTACTAAGACTTACTCATGGGACCTTGTGCAGGGAATGTGATTTCCCAACGAATTTCACAAGATGGATACATGGTATTAAACTCTTCAAGTGATGCTGGCTTAAGGCACCAAATGAAGAGTTTAAGTGGTCCTAGGAATGATAATAATATGTTATTATTAGCAATGTAAGGTCTTCATTTATATTATTGATTGAGTACCTTACCTTTAGGGTTCCAAAAAATACCCTCAGAGTCTCCCTTATATTTTGGTAGGAGATCTCTCTGGGTCATGGAGACATGGACCAGCCAATGA